AGTCATATTTTGCAAATGGAACACTTCTGGAAATAGAGAGACAATTAAAGTTTATAAAATAGCATCAGCAAAAGCTAGACTTGTCCTGTATGTCATGGAGAGCCTTTCATTATGACTTATTTTTAACTTTACAGCCTAGTAAACAGCCATTGCAGGTTGCTAACATTGTCTGTGTTGGTGAAAACAAAATGTATGGCACCGTAGCTGGTTTGCATGGGATAACGCCATACCATTACTGCATTATGTACATTTTATTGGTATTTTTGTGAAATGGGGATTGAAAAGGATTACAAGACGCCTGCTGTAAAAAGGACTAATTCTGTAGCCTGAGGAATAAATGAAAGTCAGGGTGAGACACCCCACTGGCAAAGTCCACAAGTGGTAACTTGGCACATGCCTGCACTAGGAAATAATTTCAAAATAATGTATTTCAAAATAATGTATTTCAAAAGAACTCCCAAAATAACTATTTTGAAATAAGCATTATTCCTTGTGCAAAGCAGGAGTACAGATTTCAAAATAACCAGCCTGTTATTTTGAAATAACATGGTTGGTAGTGTGGACACTCTGCTTGTTGTAGACCAGGATTTGGAGTTATTTCAAAATAACTCCCAAGTGTAGACCAGGTCCTACTGAGAAACACATCTACCTCTGTAGCCCTGAGTTGCTGGGATATCTATTGGGTTTTCTTGGATCTTAATTAAGGCTTTTCTGTCGTAGTAATGTATTTATTGCTGACAATCTGGTAGCAAGAATGGTTACATTGTAAATCCAGGATTTGCATCATTTCACAAAACCATAATCCATACCTTCATCTGAGCAGGGCTCAGCCACAAGTTCGTGAAATGGTGTTGAAATTGTTTTTGTCTTCTCTTGCAATTAAGCAGTTTTAGTACTGGCTTCTGCCACACACACTGCCTTGTCTTTTACACCAGCCTTTAGCTGGCTGGATAAATTTGAATCTCCCCTCTTTTCTAGCTGCTGGAAGGAAGTTTTGTGTGTCATCTCCCAGACAGAGCCTCCGTTTCAGTGAGAGTCTCAGATACTCTTTCTTCCCGAGCCTCTCTGTGTTTTTAAGTCCTCTCCTGTGGAAGCCTCTGTTGCCTGGCCCTGTTGCACATAGAATCATAGAATACTAGGACTGGAAGGGACCTCGAGAGGTCATCGATTCAAATCCCCTACCCCCATGGCAGGACCAAATACTGTCTAGACCGTCCCTGATAGACATTTATCTAACCTACTCTTAAATGTCTCCAGAGATGAGGATTCCACAACCTCCCTGGGCAATGTATTCCAGTGTTTAACTACCCTGACAGTTAGGAACTTTTTCCTAATGTCCAACCTAAACCTCCCTTGCTTCAGTTTAAGCCCATTGCTTCTTGTTCTATCCTCAGAGGCCAAGATGAACAAGTTTTCTTCCTCCTCCTTATGACACTCTTTTAGATACCTGAAAATGGCTCTCATGTTCCCCCTCTTTTCTAAACTAAACAAACCCAATTCTTTCAGTCTTCTTTCATAGGTCATATTCTCTAGACCTTTAATCATTAGCGTTGCTCTTCTCTGGACCCTCTCCTATTTCTCCACATCTTTCTTGAAATGCGGTGCCCAGAACTGGACACAATACTCCAACTGAGGCCTAACCAGTGCAGAGTAGAGCAGAAGAATGACTTCTCGTGTCTTGCTCACAACACACCTGTTAATGCATTTCAGAATCATGTTTGCTTTTTTTGCAGCAGCATCACACTTCTGACTCATATTCAGCTTTGGGTACACTGTAACCCCTAGATCCCTTTCTGCCATACTCCTTCCCAGACAGTCGCTTCTCATTCTGTATGTGCGAAACTGATTGTTCCTTCCTAAGTGGAGCACTTTGCATTTGTCTTTATTAAACTTCATCCTGTTTACCTCAGACCATTTCTCCAATTTGTCCAGATCATTTTGAAATATGACCCTAACCTCCAGAACAGCCACAACCCCTCCCAACTTGGTATCATCTGCAAACTTAATAAGCGTACTCTCTATGCCAATATCTAAATCATTGATGAAGATATTGAACAGAGCCGGTCCGAAAACAGACCCTGCGGAACCCTACTTGTTATACCTTTCCAGCAGGATTGTGAGCCATTAATAACTACTCTCAGAGTACGGTTATCCAGCCAGTTATGCACCCACCTTATAGTAGCCCCATCTAAGTTGTATTTGCCTAGTTTATTGATAAGAATATAATGCGAGACCATATCAAATGCCTTACTAAAGTCTAGGTATACCACATCCACCGCTTCCCCCTTATCCACAAGACTTGTTATCCTATCAAAGAAAGCTATCAAATTGGTTTGACATGATTTTTTCTTTACAAATCCATGCTGGCTGTTCCCTATCACCTTGCCACCTTCCCCCACCTTGCTACCTTCCCAGTGTTTACAGATGATTTCCTTAATTACTTGCTCCATTATCTTCCCTGGCACAGAAGTTAAACTAACTGGTCTGTAGTTTCCTGGGTCGTTCTTATTTCCCTTTTTATAAATGGGCACTATATTTGCCCTTTTCCAGTCTTCTGGAATCTCTTCTGTCTCCCACGATTTTCCAAAGATGATAGCTAGAGGCTCAGATACCTCCTCTATCAGCTCCTTGAGTATTCTAGGATGTATTTCATCAGACCCTGGTGACTTGCGGGCATCTAACTTTTTTAGGTGATTTTTAACTTGTTTTTTTTTATTTCCAGTTTTCCTGTTACTGTTTCTCCCTCCTCACTGACCAGTGGGCCTACCTTCTCCTTGTTCTTCTTCTTGCTTCTAATGTATTTATAAAAAGTCTTCTTGTTTCCCTTTATTCCTGTAGCTAGTTTGAGCTCATTTTGTGCATTTGCCTTTCTAATCTTGCCCCTGCATTCCTGTGTTGTTTGCCTATATTCATTCTTTGTAATTTGTCCTACTTTCCATTTCTTATATGACTCCTTTTTTATTTTTAGATCATGCAAGATCTCGTGGTTAAGCCAAAGCGGTCTTTTGCCATATTTTCTATCTTTCCGACGCAGCGGAATAGCTTGCTTTTGGGCCCTTAACAATGTCCCTTTGAAAAACTGCCAACTCTCCTCAGTTGTTTTTCCCCGAAGTCTTGATTCCCATGGGACCTTACCTATCAGCTCTCTGAGCTTACCAAAATCTGCCTTCCAGGAATCCATTGTCTCTATTTTGCTGTTCTCCCTTCTACCCTTCCTTAGAATTATGAATTCTATGATTTCATGATCACTTTCACCCAAGCTGCCTTCTACTTTCAAATTCTCAACCAGTTCCTCCTTATTTGTTAGGATCAAATCTAGAACAGCTTCCCCCCCCGGAAGCTTTTTCAACCTTCTGAAATAAAAAGTTGTCTCCAATGCAGTCCAAGACTTATTGGATAGTCTGTGCCCTGCTATGTTATCTTCCCAACATATATCTGGATAGTTGAAGTCCCCCATCACCACCAAATCTTGGGCTTTGGATGATATTGTTAGTTGTTCAAAAAAAGCCTCATCCAATTCCTCCACCTGGGTAGGTGGCCTGTAGTAGACTCCTAGCATGACATGTTTTCGTCCAGAAGCAGCATGACATTAACCTGGTACTAGACAGTTGTCTTCATAGTCCTGAATCACAAGGGTAAAACTGACCTTTCTGCTCATGCTAGACAAAGCTGGGAACAACAGCAGGAGCATTGAAGCAGTGTGTCTTCAGACTGGGAAGGCATACCTGCATTTGGTTGTATCTGGAAGGTTTTCTTCCTGACCATAACAACTTGCAAACTTTTTTAAAGTAAATGTAAATAACTTCTAAACATAAGGGATGGCTTTTCACTCCTTGTCCGCATGTGGGTGAATGGATTTTTCAAGCCCAATTCTGAAAAATCCTTTCTCTTTTATTTAAATAAATAAATAAATAAACAGGGCTTGACCAACGTAGTCAAATGCTGAGGTCATGGGTAGAGAGAGCAACATTTCCAGTAATTAATGAAGGATCTGTGCTTGTTCTGGCAAAAACAGCAATGACATCCTTCTACCATTGGCATGAGAGACAGAGACTGCAGAGAATAGTGAACTTGAAACATAAAACTTATTATTAAAGGGGTTTGTCAGACAATTTTAAGTATTGGTCATGCTAAGAAGATAAGATTTTTTTTCCCACCTTTTAAATTGCAGTGGAGTTTATCATGCATTTTCTGGGTCTATGGAACTGCTGTCCTGATACATTGGTCTTTCATTAAGATAAGTAAATTAAATGTCAGTAGAGCTGTGAAAATAAGTTTCGAGTTCTCTCTTTTGTGTGTGTGTGGGGGGGGAGATAAATATAAAAAGCAGCAATTTCCCTGTTCTCTGGAATGCAGCAAGCTTTGTTCTGTCAAGTGAAAGCAAATCCAAATGGCAGGTGAAGCGTGGAACAAAAGAGATATGGCCACACCCACATAGAACATGTTTGAAGCATGTTATGTTCTAGTATTAATTGACGCTTTACAGTTAAGTGCAATTAGTTCATCATCTTCACTTGCTAGATGCTCCGAATGCTGGCACCTATGCTTTATTTCTGATGGGCTGCAGTGGACTCACAAAATTCTTTAAAATACGGCTCTGTAAAACTGGGGGAAAGGGGTGTTTCAAAAGTCACTTGGGAGGTAAGTGACTTTGTGGGAGTCAAGCCTAACTCCCCTGTGTAGCTTTGAAAACCTTCCCCTGAATCTGTTAGCAGCCCTGAATGTGTCTATCACTGTCTGAAGTTCACCCATTAACAAGAAAGCTGTGATGTGATCACTAGAAGAGTGAGCAGGGATCTCGAGCAGGAGGCACCACTGAGAACATTTTAGTATGTTTTTTTTCTTTTATATGCAAAGACCAATATGTCCAGTGAGGATACGTCCAAGTATGCATCTGCTAACAGAAGTGACCAATGTTTAGACCCATGTTACTTTAACCTAGTTGTCTCTCTTCTCCATTACAGTTATGTTCATTCATTTTCCTTGGTTTTATTTTACAGGCCATGACTGCTGTGAGACAGTGAAGGTGGCACTTTGCGCTTCCAAGGAAGGGCTCCCTGCTCTAGTGCTGGGAGAGGAAAGTTTTCAGTTCATTCAGGATGAGGCCTATGATGCAGCTCAGTTCCTAGCAACCTGTGCTGGAAACCAGCAAGCACTGAACTTCACAAGATTCCTAGACCGGTCAAGACTCCCCTCTGGGGATGTGGATTTTCTGGATGAGAAAGTGGCTTTGGCATTTCGGCATCTGAAACTGCCAGCAGAATGGAATGTATTGGGAACAGACCAGACACTGAATGGTGAGAACTAGTAGCAGCTGAGTAACATGTTATGCATATGAGAGAGAGAGATGCTCACTTCCTCTCTAGCAATGGCTCTGTTGTGGAGAGTTCCTCTGGTGTATGAGGGGATTCTCCTGTTGACCAGCAGTTAGATTAGGGCTACCACAAATAGCAGCCTGTGGCCCACTGGGGCTCCACCTGTAGCTCCACAGTCCTTCTTTCAGCCCTCCTCTCCCCCACGTGCTTCTCGCACACTGGTGCACCGGAGCCCCACGCTTACCTGCTCCTCCCACTGTCTTCCAGCACTTTTGGAGCATGCAAATTGCCTGATTTGTGCTCTGTTCCCACCCCTTCCTCCGCCCTTTCAGAATTGGAATGCTGTGTTCAGCTGGGAATGTGAGGTCCCGGTACTCCAGTGTGTGCGAGTGGGGGAAGAGGGCAGCCAGAGAGTCCGCGGGCTGCAGATGGAGCCCCAGTGGGCTGCATGAGGCCTGCAGGCTGCTGGTTGTCCACCACTGAGATAGATCAGTGACGTCCTCAGCTACATAATTTACGTAGCTGGAGTTGTGTTTCTTACTTTGACCTTCCAATATAGTGTAGACCAGGCCTTAGCACACGCTAACTCTGCAGTTGTTCCACTCTAGGTAAACCACCTCAATGAGTCATGTAGAGTAGGGACGTTAAAATTAGATTAATTAACTAATCGAATAGTCGATGGAATTTCCATTGACTATTTGAGTAGTCGATAAGGGCGCTTCCGCTTTGAAATGTACAAGAAACTCAGCAGAGGCTCTTGTGCATTTCAAAGATTGAAACGCGGCATGGAGCCTGGGGCCAGCGGGGAACCCTGACTTCCCCGCTGACCCGAAGCTTCATGCAGCACTTCATGCAGTCCGATGGGGACTTTTGTATATTTCAAAGATGGAACTCCGTAGTTGCGCCTCTGCCCTCTCCTACGGAGCTGGAGCTGGGGTGAACCGGCTAAACCCCCAGGACTCTTTCTTCTTCACCGGGGGGGGGGGGGGGGCGGGAGAAGCAACTAGTTGACTAGTGTGTCAACTATCTGATATGCTATTGCTTATCGGATAGTTGATTAGTCGCTTACATCCCTAGTGTAGAGTTTGCTGCACCCTGGATACAGAGCTGGGGGGCCATTGTAGACACTTGTATTGTTTAGGGATGTTAAATATTGATTAATTGAATAGTTGAGTAACCTCATGAATTCTTATTGGTTAATCAATTATTCTATAGTCCCCGGGAGCAGGCGCAGCAGCCAGTGCACTCTGGCCTTACTCCCGAGGAGCCCCCTTCCACTCTGCGCTGCTGCCTCTGTATCAGGGTGCCAGGTGGGAGCTGGTCCAGAAAGGGAGCCAGTTTTAAAAACCAGCTCCCTTCGCGGACTGGCTGCCTGTTGCCCCATGCTACTACTTCTGATACAGAGGTAGCAGGTGGGGTGACTGCAGCCCCTGTCTGGGGGGTGGGGGTCTGACCTCCCAAACCCAGCGTGAGCTGGAACTCAGCCAGGGTGCTTGACCATCTAGCTCCTAATACACTTTAAATGCAGACCTGCTGCAGGGGTAGGTCCCAGACCCATCGCAAGCCAGGACTGAGCCGGGTTGCTGGCCAGGCTGCTAAAAGATTTCCTGGTGGGGGGTGGGGAGAGGAAAATTCATGTAGTCTGTAGCATTAACCGATAAGCTTTTGCTTATCGGTTAATATTGTGACTGGCATTCGGAAATGGCCCATAATCCTTCAAGTTTCCTTTGCTCTTTGTTTGGAACTCATCTGTCTGCCCTACAGGTATACACATACCTCCTTTCAGTGCTCCATTTCTGACAGTGTGCATGCTGCGGAGCAAACCATTCAGATGAAATGTTTGTGCAGTTGAATATGGGTAGGCGTGGCGAGAGAGAGGCAGGCTAGGGGCTGAGATATCGGTATTTCTCCCAGCCCCTCCTCTTGCCTTAGGAGAGGTTGTTTCCTGCCACTGTCTAAACTTACAAGACATCATGCTGACATCCCCCAAACACAGTCTGCTCTCTGCCCTGCATACACACACACACACATGTTCCCTGTCACACTTTCCCCCCTTTCTCAGACTTCTGTTGAAAAGCAGCTGTCATTGTAACAAGATGACAATGGAGCAATGGGATTTGGAAACCTCTATCGTGATACTGATCACCTCATGTGGCATTGCAAAACCTTCCTAAAGCATCTTGCAGCCAGTTGCACAGTGGGCTAGCTATGACAATGCACTGCTATCTCTGGCACTGCAAGAGCTGCTAATGTGGGCATGCTCCCCCCTAAGGAGGGAATAACACAACAGCAGTTTCCCTGAAGCACTTTGTGAACAGCCCTGTAACTACCAATGCTTTATATCTGCCACTGTAGACATGGCCTGTTCTCCTCTCCCTTTGACTTCACTTGTGTTCCTGAACTGCAGCACTTCTGAAAATCAGGCCTGGGCATTTAAATTGTTCTGTTGAGGACAAAAACCAGTTGTGTCTGAAAGCCACGTAAATTCGAGGACAAATGGCACCTGTGGAGTATCTATTACAATCTCGACTAAAAGGAGAGGAGCTCTTTGTGGCCCTCAGTGTAATGGGATCATTTTGAGAAGTGTCTGCTGGGATGTGGGAGGAATGATGTTTGTTAACCTGAGATAATATAGATTGATGTTGTGTGTAATGGGATTAAATGTGTTTAGCAGTCAAAAATAGATGACTGCACCTATATTGATTCACACAAGCATTCCCTTACCTACCTGCAATTAACTGTTGACAGGCAGTTAATTCCTGTCTTGCCTGTCTTGATCCTTCCATAATTTAGCCTTTTTCTAAGAAGCTGTGCCTTTAATATAAATACAGTACAAAGGAAAAAGGATTTTTATGTGAATATTGACTAGTTGTTGTCATTGCTATCTGAATTGTTGGGTTTTTGTTTTTAGTTTAAGCCTGTGAAAAACAGCATCAGCCAGCTCTTAACTGTAGCTATTTGAGATATATATATGACTACAATTCAGAAATGATTCTATAGTCTGACTATTCCTGACTGTGTTTAAAGATAGACAGGAAAATGAAATGAATCATGCTTCCTAATAAGAGCAGCTAAGGAAGTGTTGCAGTAACTCTGCATTTTGTAGAAGTAGGATTTTGATATTGTCCTCACAATCCAGTAAAGTTCTTTGCTTGTTTTTAAATGATAGGGTTGTCTAGGGAGAATCCCCTATTTTAGGGGTGGGGAACCTAAGGCCCAGGAGCCAGATGCAGCTCCTAGCTAGCCCCCAAGGCTCAGAACTCCCCTCCCAGCATTGGGGAGCCTGTGTTGTTGCTCTACCCCCTCCCCCATAGGAGCTGGAGCACATAGAATCTACTAGCCAGGGCCTCCCTATGCTCTGGTATGGGAGTGGAATGTGGGGAGTGTCTTTCTCCTCAGTCAGGGGCCAAGTCAGTGAGACAGGGAAAAAAAAAGAAAAGAAAAGAAAATCTAAAGCTAGGGCTGTAACATCCATGTTACTTAAATCAGAATGGATGTGGCTCATCTGCATCAGTGGTGAGAAATTGAGAGTACTTGGATGGGAAATTACTTGTAATGCGAGAACCACTCCATGTATTTGTTTAGACATAAACAAACATGGAATTGTGGCATGGATGTCACAGTCCCATCTCTATGTCCTCTTTTTTTCTGTCTTTCTTTTCTCTTCAGCATCTGAGGAAGTGAGCTGTAGCTCACAAAAGCTTATGCTCTAATACCCGAATAAATTTGTTAGTCTTTAAAGTGCCACCGGACTCCTTGCTATTTTGCTAAAACACGGCTACTCTCTGAAGCCTAGCATTTATGTTGTAGGTGATCCTGAAGAAGCATATGCACATTCAAGAAACTGATCAATAATTATGTAAACATTCTAAAATGCTTCATAATCTTATTTTGTTTTTCCTTCTTGTATTCTGATGGTTTCTTTTCTTCCCTTGATCTGTCTGGCTGTGTCTACACTGCACCCCTTTTCCGGAAAAAGGATGCAGACGAGACAAGTCGGAATTGCAAATGAAGCGGGGATTTACATCTCCCCCGCTTCATTTGCATGAACATGGCTGCCGTTTTTTTCCGGCCCGGGGCTTTGCCGGAAAAAAGCGCCAGTTTAGACGGGGATCTTTCGGAAAATAAAGCCTTTTCCAAAAGGTCCCTTATTCCTCTTAAAATCAGGAATAAGGGACCTTTCAGAAAAGGCTTTATTTTCCGAAAGATCCCCGTCTAGACTGGCGCTTTTTTCCGGCAAAGCCCCGGGCCGGAAAAAAGTGGCAGCCATGTTCATGCAAATGGAGCGGGGGAGATGTAAATCCCCGCTTCATTTGCAATTCCGACTTGTCTCGTCTGCATCCCTTTTCTGGAAAAGGGGTGCAGTGTAGACACAGCCTTTGTGTTTGACTACTTACATATGAGAAAGAAAGACTGCACACCCTGGGGCTTTTTCAGGGTTAGGGTTAATGGCTTTCCCACTCGTCTTCTGTTTTTGCAAAATTAGGTTGTTCTTTCCCTGGGAGCTTCTTGTTATTCAAAGTCAAAGGTGTGCTTTCTCATAAAACCAGATCTTAGTTCTTTTTTTCTCTGCTGCAGGTAACACACACCTCTGAGAGGATTATTTAAAGTGTGAATTATGCAGACTTTAGGTAAAAGAAAGTCTATTGCATTTTAATGTTACATGGCATTAGTATATTACTGATACCCAGGGCTCGCCGAACCACGGTGAGCCCCGCTTGCCAGCTGCGCCATCCGGCGATTTGCGTATGTGCAGATCGCCTGAACCCAGCTCTTCCGGGTTACAGTCTACTCGCCATGGGTGAGTAGATTGTATTTGTCGAGCCCTGCTGATACCCGAAAACTTTACCTGCAATTACAACTCTCTTAGGCCTTGATACCATGCTCACTGAAGTGATTTAGAAGATTGCCTTTGTCTTCAGTAGGCTATGCATCAGCCCATTAGTTCCTGATCCTGCACATATTAAGCTTTACAGACTGTG